AGTCTCCTGACCTTAATATCATTGAACCACTCTGGGGAGATCTCAAACGTGCGGTTCATGCAAGATGACCAAAGACTTTGCATGACCTGGAGAATTAGGGGGCTCATAGACAACTATTGTAAAAGAACTGCATGTTGTCATTGATGCTAAATGGAACAATACACAGCTTTAAGAACTAAGGGTATGCAAACTTTTGAAAAGGAATAATATAATTTTTTTCTTTCTTGCCATGTTTTGTTTTATGATTGTGCAATGCTGTTATAACCTACAGTTAAATATGAATCCTATAAGAAATAAAATAAATGTTTTGCCTGCTCACTCATGTTTTATTTAAAAATGGCACATATATTACCTATTCTCCAAGGGTATGCAAATTTTGTAGCACAACTCTCAAAGGCACAAGCGGCCAGCATAGGTATTTCCCCCCTTCCCTGATATAGGTAAAGTACCAAATTAGTTTAGTTTACCTAGAATGTTGGTTTGCAGTTGTCTGAATGTTAGGCCAGGCTGTGAGCTCCAGTCTATACTGTGTATAGTACCCTGTTGCTACTCTTTCTAATTAATGAAGTGAAACTTTCCTTCACATTATCACTGCTCTGTTTCTTGTCATTGCTACTTTGCTTATTATTCATTATACAGAAATTGTATATCACATTGCAACAACAATGGAGATATTTTACATTATGTTATTGGTTCTGTACGTGTATAATGTTTTACATTTTTTTTTGCTCGTGTATATTTATTTAGTTTTTATCTATACCAATTAAAGTTACGTTTTATTTAACTCTTGGGATGTATTTATCAAATATTTAAGTCCTAGTATACTTTCTGAGGTTGATATGTTTAACCATAAACTCCTTTTTCACACCCTTCATTTTTTTCACTATCTAGGGGTTATGCCCGATTTTGAGGGTGTTGATATACTTGGCTCCAATCCCTATTCAATTATTGATCAAATTTTTTTAATATTTTATTTCTAACTGCTTTGCTTTTGATTCAAATGACTTTAAACCCTCATTTGTCAAAACTAGCTTTTCCTGAAAAGAATGTAGTTCTTTTCTCCATCTTTAATAATGATCCATCTCATTTTGTCAGTCTTTCTCTCACTTTTACAATAAGCACTTAGTTTAACCCACTGTGTTTGATTTCCTAAATCTTAAAGAATGAGTGCTGCAAATTAATGCAGTTCCCCAGCAATGGGTTTCCAAAAATCACAGCTTGCCAACTCAGAAATTGACCCATACTTGAAAAATGATTCCTTGATCTTATTATTTTTGTTCTAGACTGAGGATTAATTTTCTACAGTCAGAAAAAAACAGTATACAAATCAGATACAATCTAAATTTTATCTTTCAGCAACACTCAAATTGCTTCAGGGGCTTATTTACTAAACACCTTTACTGTTCAGTAAATTATTCCTCCCAGAATGTTTTACTTCACTTGAATATTAATAACTAGTGAACAGGTGAAATCCCGTCGACTATGCTATTTGCATAAAATATGAATATTCAAAATTATAAATTTTTAATATGAATCAAAAATATCCCCAATGTTTGTAATCAAAATTATTTTCTATCAGGACAATTCAATAACCAAGTAGATTAAAAAAAATAAATAAATCACACCCCATCACCCAATCTTAAATAGAATTTGAAACAACTTTACTATTTGTAGCCTAGCATTTTAACAATGTAGTAGGTATACTCCCAAATAACACAAGGAAGGTCAACTAATGAACTGGTATCAGAGGCGCCCAAGGCATATTTATACATGTGGGGAGTGGAGGCTAGCCCATCTGGTCTGATCACACAGAAGAACTACTGCAGCTTAAATTGAAGAAAAAAAAAATGTTGGATGTAATAGAAATACATGACAAAAGGTTCAAGGCATTGCCTTGGCCTCCAAATTCCCCAGATCTCAATTTGATTGACCATCTGTGGGTGTGCCCGAACAAGAAATTCAAACCATGGAGGCCCCATTTCACAACTTTCAGTATTTAATGGATGCGCTGCTAATGTCTTGGTGCCATATACCACAGGACACATTCAAAGGTCTTGTGGAGTCCATGCCTCAACACATGAGAGCTGTTTTGTCTGCACGAAGAGGACCTACACGATATCAGACAGGTGGTTTTAATGCTATGTTTGATCAGTACTGATGGAGTCACTGTGCATATCATTCTAACATACTCTGCACAAAGAAAGTTTTCTCTCTCACTATCTCTCTATCTATATATCTACATATTATACACATACATATAATCAATTGTTACACTTAATCGTATTAGTATGCAGATAATCAGTTTGGTATTATTGTTTCCCTTACTCACAGGATCCTTTGTTCTTTTTTGCAAACTGCAGGATTGTGCACGTAGTTTCTCATGAATAGCTAGTGCTAGTGCCCAGGAAACTGAAATGGGAGGATTTGTAGGTAGGAGATAGATAGGTAAGAGAGAGGGGGAGTCACGAAGAAACTCATCTATCTGAGGAGCGTGACCAACAAAGGAAACTTTACAGTAAAGTTTACAGTAAATTTTTTATCTTTTATTACATACTTGACAAACTTTTATTGATTTATTCCAGTTTGTATATTTGTCTAAAATTTTTGGTTTAAAAAAAAAAAAACATTGTAAAGTGATGGAGTCCAATAATAAAATATGGACTAGTGATATTAATAGAAATCTTGCATAATAAATAATAACAATTTAGGCAGCTTACACATCTGTAGAGTTGCCAGTCTGCCCAACCAGGATAATTCAATCTACATCACATGTGAAGTGCTTTTCTCCATTACATGCATTTATTCTAAAAATTATACATAGATCATTTGGATTTTTGGCAACAAATATGCCTAGAACTATTATCTATCCTCCAGTCATGTAGGTATTGATTATGTAAAACCAATAGGATTATCTAAATTTAAGGTATATAGATAGGTTTTTTGTTTTGTATATTTAACTTATAATATGAAATAGATTCAAAAACAAGTAATAATTCCTGCATATGTTTACCTATGGTATGCGTAGTGCCTTTTAGCTTTACTAGTCGCCTCCCTCCACCAGATAGAGGGACTAGCTCTTATGGCCAGTATATCCTATTATGCCAATTGTGTTGTCAATATTAATTTTAATACCATTCATGTTATGTCACAAGTGGTTTAAATGTGGAACACAACTGCAGATTATAAATTTTCTTATTTTTATAATAGAGTGTGAAATGAGAATCCTTTAATTAATAAGGTTACTGTAGCTTTAAGTCAGCGTGGCTTTTGCAGGTTGTTAGTTGAAGACATAAAGCATTAATAATTGTAATAGTATTTTAGTAGTAGCAGATTTTAGCAAGCAGGTAACAGTTCATTAGCAAAGTAAGAATTCAGAGATAGTATCAAATTGTATACTTATGATTGTTGGGAGTTGTCATCCAAAGACAGGTTAGTTTGAGTCCGCAGGATGATTAAACATCAAACAGTCCGGTTTCCAATAATTAGAAAGAGAGCAGATAAATCCAATACACGGTCCGTGGTCAAAGGAAGATGAGAAGGCAGGAATCCGTTTAAACAGTCCAAGGTTCGGTACACATTATTAACGGAGAAAAGCTTAGCCGGCAATATGATTGCGGAAGTAACAACCAGAAATCACTAAGCAATTTTGAATCTGGCGCGGTCTCTCTATAAGGCTTGAGAGAGCCGCGTCAGAGAGGGGGCGGGGACGGTTCCTCATACCGGAAATGCCGGAACGGAGCTGAAAAGATAAGTCCTGACAATTCATTTTAGGTTAAGGTAAGATTGTTCTTGGTAAATATTTTTAGCTGGTAAGTGTCAATAATTAAAGCGAATTACAGTGATTATGTCAAGATAATGTTCTATACAAATGTAGCTATTTCAAGTTTATATATTCTGTGATCTAACCATGAAAAGGAATATTACAATTCCATTGAAACAGTGGATATACAGAGGAAACGTTATATCTGCATGAGCAAGTTTTTCTTCATTAAAAGCTTAAATAAATGCAATTCTATAAGTTTGGCATTCGTGATATGATATTGCAATTGATTTGTAATTCAATTTTAATTAATTAAAATACATTTGTTTTCTCTTTAGTTTAATAAAGAGTTCAAACAGGTTTGCCAGTTATCTTGCCAAGCATATTAATAATAACTTATATACAACTCTCCAGAAATGAATGCTATTGATAGTGTAGATATTTATGGACTTTTATGTGTTTATATTTGTGCAGCTGTATACTGTGTCTGTTATTTGCCAACTTTAATTGTTTGTTGATAGTAATACCTTAACATAGGCATCTATTGAATTACCACTAAAGTTTGATTATAAATCCAATCTAGAAAGCACATTATCCATTTAAATTTGCAAATGGATGCATAATGCACATGATATATCTAGAGCCAATATTTTCTGCCATGCTGTAACTGGTTCAATGCCAGCAGTGATTTCAATTATCATCAGCACAATGGGAACAGCATGCATTATAAGGGATCAATCTTGGATAAATCCTCCTTGATCCTCGACTGTAGATAAAACAACATGTAGCCAGCATGTTCTGTATGCTATTAACAAATACACTGCTCTCAAAAAGAAAAGAAAAATGCAACATTTAAAATAATGTAGTTTATTAATATTTTATTTTATTTTTCATACTTAAATGGACACTATAATGAACATATATCATGTTGTGCAACTTTATAAATAATTACAAAATAGTAATATCTGGGCATATAACTTGCCAACTCAAAACAGGTTATACTCCAAATTAGTCACATTAGAAAGATTACACACTTAGTTCCACCATGAAGACCTGAAGCTTATTATAACTCTCCTTTCTGGTAAAAATAATTAATTCAAGATGTAAATTTTTCCCATCATCCTATACCTGTCCCTGGATCTTCCTTACACTCTCAGCCTTGTCCATAGGTGTCACTACTGAGTTGCAAAGGGAAGTAATCGCTAATTGCCCCCTTCCCCCCCCCACACTCCCTCCGTGTGTCCCAGCCTAACTTTATGGCCAGTGAGTAAATCAAAGATCTTCCTTACCTGCTAGGCTGCTCCGATACTGAGCGGGAGGAGGGAGAAATGAATGTCTTCCCTTCTACTTTATTAGTATTGCCATGCATTACCGTGGCAACACTCTGATATATTTCCCAGTGCTGTCCAGAGGGAGCCAGACAAGCATATTTGCCCCCTGGACCACCAGGGATAAAGATGCTCCTTTCTCTCTCTCTCTCTCTCTTTTTTTCTCTTTTTCTCTCTCTCTCTCTCTCTCTCTCTCTCTTTCTCTCTCCATCACTCCACTACTGCCCCATATCCCATCGAAGCTCCCACCCCAACTACAGCCCCTATCCTCCATCCCTTTTTACCCACCAAAGCCTCTAACCCACTACAGACCATATCACATCTGTACTTACTACAGCCATTACTCTCTGCACCCATCCACAGCTACTATTACACTCTGCACCATCCACAGCTTCAATTACCCATTGCACCCACTAGGGACTCTAGCCCACTTCACAAACCACTTCAACCCCTATCCTTCACTGCCTCTAACATCCTCTATTATGCTCTGTGCACACTACAAACTCTACCCCCCTCCATCCGCTACAGCCCCTATGTCCCCTGCACCCACTACAGCCCCTATTCCTTTCCCAGCTCCCACTTCAGTATTACCCTCTATTGCCCCTATATCCCCTGCCACCTTATCTCCTGCCCCTATGATCCCTGTATCAAATACAGTTTCTATTCCCCTGCACCCTCTACACCGCCTATTCCCATGCACCCATTACATTCCCTATTACCCCCTGCACCCACTACAGCCTCTATCCCCCTCCACCCATTACAACCTCTTTTTCCCTTGTACCCACTACAGCCCCTATTAGCACCATCAATCACTTCAGCCTCTATCACCTGCATCCATTACAGTCCTTGTTATTTCCCACAGGCCTGCACCCACTACAGCCTCCATCACCCTGCACCCAGTATAGCCCTTATTACTTCATACACCAACTACAGCCCGTTTTACCCTTTTATTGCCCCTTTTCCTTTCTGCACCAAATACAGCCCATATCCCCACTGCACATATTACATTTTCTTTCCCCCCTGTGCCCCCTGCAGCCCCTATTACCAACTGCACCCACTACAGCAACTTTCTCCCCTTGCACCAACTACAGCCCCACCTACTTCCTATAGCACCTTTCCTTACTTTACTCCCTCTATCCCCCTGCATCCACTACAGTCCCACTACAATCCTTTTGATCCATGCAACCCCTATCATGCATGCACCCATTACTGTCCCTATTACGCTCTGCACCTACTACAGCCCCTATCCCTCTCCTGTACACATTATAGCCCATTTTTGACCCTGTACCTTCTGTCGCCACTAAAGTCCTTATTAACACCTGCACTCAGTACCGCCTCTATTCCCTGCACCAATTACTGCCCCTATGGCCCCTATATCTATATATTGCAGTACACTAATTGCTGCATTTTCAAACACTTTTGGTTTGTCTGATTCACTTTCCTGAATCTTTTTTTCTAAATGATGAGCCAAATTGCTATGGTCCTGAAATTTTGTCTTCCTGACAATTTTTATATTTACGGCAAAGTGGTTTGGCTGAGAAATGTATTTTCACTGTGCACAAGTCTATTACATACTTACATATTAGAAAATTGAATCCCTGTCCTACAATACTTATAATCTGCCTAAATAATAGTTAAAGTAATGATGTCTAATGCCAACACAAAGAATAGTGCAGCGCTTATATAAAGTGCAATAAGTTTCAACTACTATAGCTTTAACAGATCTTTAGATACGTTTTCTCAAATTAGAATAACCTTAAAATATAAATAATATACCACAGTGCAAATTTGTATGGGAAACAGAGCTATTCAACAAAAAAAATGGAACACTCACATGTTAAAGAGCCAAGAAACCTATCTCTGGTTGTAGGAGCAGCTAGAACCGTTTAGGTGACCCTTCCTGACTTATGTAGAAGTCTTCCTTGGTCAATCCTGTTATGAGTTTTGAAGAAACAAGGAAATAGAATGGTACAGTAATGTAATTATATGGTAAAATACAAGCCAAGTTGATACTCACAGGACATTACCCTGAATAAGGCTCTTTATCATCGGGACTACACCCCCTCTCTTTAAAACTGCAGGATACCAGAAACCAAAATTAAATGTAAAATAATTTATTCTGGTATTACAATAAAATATCGAAGTAATAAATAAAACCAAAAGAACAATGTCCTATAAAATTACAGAAGTCTTCCTTTCTGTTCATTCCCAGAATGCGTTTCACCACAATCTAAGTGGCTTCCTCAGCCAAGTAAAGATATAATGACATCCATCAGTTTTCCGGTCCTGCTTATATAACCCCTTAATAGGAGGATAATAGATTGTATTACATACACCTGCTCATGATTCTTATGTCTACAATTTATTATCCCCCTATTAAGGGGGTATATATGTTTGAAGCTTGTAGGGCTGAAAGAGGCACAGATCCACTTTAAACTATTAATAGAAGTAATAGAGTTGATTAATTAGAGTTGAGCGAACCCGAACATTAGGTTTTTTGGACCCCAGACACGAACACGGACATATCACTGTATGCTCGGGTTGGAGTTCGGTGTTCGTCGATTTAATCCCGCGTTTTCAAAGGCTGCAGGGCAGCCAATCAACAAGTGTTTGACTCGTGTGCCCTTAGAAGCCATCACAGCCATGCCTACTAATGGCATGGCTGTGATTGGCCAGTGCAGCATGTGACCCAGCCTCTATATATAAGCTGGAGTCACGTAGCGACGCATGCACATGTGGTCTTATTAGTGTAGGGAGAAGATGCTGCCGCTGATAGGGACAGCTTAGGAAAGAATTCTGCAAACTAGTATATTAGTGGGGTGGAGTGCACTTCATATCTGAGAGTCAAATAGAAGCTTCAAATACCGTGGTTACATCGGAATTTTAAAAAGTAAATTTTTTTGGTGCGAAATAGTACATTAGTGGGGTAGTACATTAGTGGGGTGCGTCAAATACTGCTGTCACATTGCAGTTTTAAAACATTTTTGGGTCCTAAACTGCTAAATAGTATTTTAGTGGGGTGCACTTCATATCTGAGAGTCAAATCGAAGCGTCTACTAGTGTGCTTACAGCGCAGTGGTAAACATTCTTATTTTCTGGGTGCTAATCTGCTAAATAGTACATTTTGGGGCCTGCGGTGCACTTCATATCTGAGAGTCAAATCGAAGCGTCTAATAGTGCGCTTACAGGGCAGTGGTAAACATTCTTATTTTCTGGGTGTTAATCTGCTAAATAGTACAGTTGCGGCCTGCGGTGCACTTCATATCTGAGAGTCAAATAGAAGCATCTAATACTGTGCTTACAGCGCAGTGGTAAACATTCTTATTTTCTGGGTGCTAATCTGCTAAATAGTACATTTGGGGCCTGTTCTTCATATCTTAGAGTCAAATAGAAGCATCTAATAGTGTGCTTACTGCGCAGTGGTAAACATTCTTATTTTCTGGGTGCTAATCTGCTAAATAGTACATTTTGGGGCCTACGGTGCACTTCATATCTGAGAGTCAAATAGAAGCGTCAAATAGTGCTCTTACTGTGCAGTGGTAAACATTCTTATTTTCTGGGTGCTAATCTGCTAAATAGTACATTTTGGGGCCTGTTCTTCATATCTGAGAGTCAAATAGAAGCGTCTAATAGTGTGCTTACTGCACAGTTGTAAACATTCTAATTGTTTTGCTGCTAATCTGCTGCTTACACTTCATATCTGAGAGTCAATTTGAAGCGTAACTTTGATTTGAATTTACTACGTCGGTCACTTGTAATATTGTTTCACATCTACAACACTTGTTACACAGATCTAAGTGATAGAAAACAGATTGATATTTTCTACACTAGAAACTACCAGATAACAAGCTGCTATAGTTAAACCAGTGATCAATGGCTAAAAGGTACTTCAACAATATTGTAATTTTGGGGTAATACCCTCACAAGTTAAACTGAGAGGTCAGTTTATAGGGAAAACTGTTGCCTGGAGGAAATTCGAAAACAATTTCCATATGTCCTCTGCAGACTTTACATGTTGGAAAAATACAGGTGCCAACTGCTGTGGCTTTCTGCAGTGTGCATACCGGCAAGGAGGGCAGGTTTGAGGAGTGGGTGGAAGCTGGAAATCTGAGCCAAATTCTATGGCTCTGCGTTTGTGAGTGTCTTTTCATTCACCATAGCACTTTACTATTTATATTGGCTATATTGCACTATTTTTTTGTCTGTTTATATTTTATTCCTAGAATATATTGGTCCAGGAACTATTTCAACTTCAAAAGAAAGATACTCCACCTAACATTGTATGTATATATCTGTTTGCTATGAGGTTTTAAGGGAAAACTCACTAAGGTGTTAGAGTATCTATCATTATTGGCATTACTCACTGGGATACTGTTATATATAATTTTTGTACATTTTGGGGCCTGTTCTTCATATCTGAGAGTCAAATAGAGGCGTCTAATAGTGTGCTTACAGTGCAGTTGTAAACATTCTAACTGTTTTGCTGCTAATCTGCTAAATAGTAAATTTGCGGCCTGCGGTGCACTTCATATCTGAGAGTCAAATAGAAGCGTCAAATAGTGCACTTACTGTGCAGTTGTAAACATTCAAGCAAACAAGTGATAGAAAACAGATTGATATTTTCTACACTAGAAACTACCAGATAACAAACTGCTATATTTAAACCAGTGATCAATAGTTAAGAGGTACTTCAACAATATTGTAATTCAGGGGCAATACCCTCACAAGTCAAACTGAGAGGCCAGTTTATAGGGAAAACTGTTGACTGGAGGAAATTCTAAAACAATTTCCATATGTCCTTTGCAGACTTTACATGTTGGAAAAACACAGGTGCCAACTGCTGTGGCTTTCTGCAGGGTGCATACCGGCAAGGAGGGCAGGGTTGAGGAGTGGGTGGAAGATGATGTGTGCTAATCTGCTAAATAGTACATTTTGTGGCCTGCTCTTCATATGTGAGAGTCAAATCGAAGCGTCTAATAGTGTGCTTACTGCGCAGTTGTAAACATTCTAATTGTTTTGCTGCTAATCTGATAAATAATTGAGGAGTGGGTGGAAGATGATGTGGAGGATGATGAGGTCCTAGATCCCACATGGAATCAAGGTCATGCGACTGACGTGTGCAGTTTGGAGGAAGAGGCCCTGGTCGCACAGAGGCACCAGCACAGCATAAGAGGGAGCAGGGTGCAAAAGCGTCCCCTAGCGCTCGTTGGCATGTATTAGCTTAAGAATTACCAGTTATCCAAGTAATATATGTAGTGATCAAAGGATCCATAAACGACTTAAGCGAACCGGAACTGCAAAGTCAGTCAGGTGGGCAGTCCAGTGACCAGGGCCCAGACACTGTCTGGGCGGCGGTCGGACCTCCCGGACCCAGTATGCCTGATGTTGATGTTAAGAGTCACAGTGTGGAATGGATCAGCAGGGTCTGGTGCAGGGTAACCGCATGCCCCCTGGTGTTGAGCACCAGCGTTTTTGCGGCCACATACCAGGACCCTGATGCAGCTTCAGTAAAAAGAGTACTGGATACCAGAAGCCATCACCAGACTGATCCGCAACTTGGAACAGGATGTGACATTCACTGTAGTGGCTGCGTGCACTTTTGGCGTTCTCACCCTGCTCGCCTGTCTGCGCTGCAGCATAACTTCGCCCTTCCCGCTCACTGCCTCATGAGACTGTGCGAGCAGCAGCAGCTGATAGTGGAGTTTCAGCTGCAGCACACACGGGTCAGTGGCTCTGCACCAGACTTCCATCCAATTGATCAGAGTTAAAGGATTTCAAGTGGACTCATTAAAATTACAGGGCTCTAAAGAGTCCTGTATTGTTATTTGTCGTCACTACCTTCCCACGTCGGGAGTGGGTCATTTGCTCGCCTGCTGCCTTTCTTGCATGTGGTAGCTGTTTCTCAGGGTCCCTGTACGGAATGGAACCCTGATTCCCCATTACCCGTGGTCACCATGGTAGGCGCAGAAACTGGCATCGAAAGATGATATGGATGACATCCACATGCAAATTTGCCGCCAACTGGGATGTGCGATTTGCCCGGGTTCTCTAAAGTCAACAAAGTTCCTGCGCAACTATAATATCAACAGCTACTCTGCGGAACAGAGTTGTCTTTTTTATATGTCCCAATATTTTGGGGGCTACCCCAATTAAAAGATATATATATATATATATTTATATATATATATATATATATGTATATATGTGTGTGTGTATATATATATATATAAACAGTGTTGGCTACCTCATCCTCCTCCTCCACCGCCATGATCACCGCCTCCTCAACCTATGGGTCACTTAGTATAAACTAGGTACACATTAGCAGAGGCTTGTAAAGGCCTTTTCTCCATGCATCAGGAGTTGAGCATTTCTTCATGCATCAGGACTGCAAGAAATGCACCGCAGGCTGCAAATGTTTCTTTTTTTGTATGTCCCAATATTTTGGGGGCTACCACAGTTAAAATGAAAAAAATATATATAAAACACAGTGTTGGCTACCTCATCCTCCTCCTTCACCACTGGAGAATGGTAAGTGCTTAAGACACAGACACACTCTCACGAACAGATGCATACACACTTGCTAACAGACACACACATTTACTGACAGACACACTCAGTCACGGACATACATACACACTCACTGACAGACAGACAGACACTCACTCACTTACAAAACACACACCCACTAACAGACGCACACAAACTAACACACTCAGTAACAGATGCACACAGTAACACACTCACTGACACAGAGTAACACTAACACACACACTAACACACACACACACACTGACACACACTGACACACACACACTAACACACACACACTAACACTAACACACACACACTGCCACTAACACACACACACTAACACACTCACTAACACACACACTAACACACACACTAACACACACACTCACACACACAAAATGTAATCCCCCCACAACAGGCAGTTCATAATCACACACAACACCATATTTAGCAAACACAAAAACCCACAAACCTTACACACACACACACACACACTCCCATAACACCATAGGCATCCCACACATGTATATATCACTCACACAATATATGAAGTCCACCAACATACATAGCACCATGCATAGCCCACATATGCACATACAAAATCTCACAAAGCAACCAACACTCCCATACATAATACATGAAGAATTATCCAACATACATACTATAATACCTGTGGGAGTGCTGAGGGGATTCCCTGTGGTCCAGTGGTGATGCTGGGCGGGCGGGCAGGCAGGCTGGCGGGCACGCGAGGGAGCACTCTCCCCTGAGTGCTTCCTGTTTAGCTCCCTCGCGTGCCGCGTTCTGATGCCGGAGCCAGAAGATGAAGTCATCTTCCGGCTCCGGTATCATTGCAGTGCGTGAGGGAGCTGAAGAGGAACCACTCAGAGGAGAATGCTCCCTCGCGTGCCCACTAGCCTGCCTGCCCGCCGAGTGACACCAGGGCCAGCCTCGGGGGGGCCCTGAGGTGGTCGGCTTCTGGGCCCCCCAGGAGAAGAGGCTGGCCACACTGGGTACATACTGGGTCGCAGGTATGTATGCCACTGCCGCCATGGTCATTGCCTCCTCAACCTATGGGGCACTTAGTATAAACTAGGTATACATTAGCAGAGGCTTGTGAAGGCCTTTTCTCCATGTATCAGAAGTTGAGCATTTCTCCATGCTCCAGGACTGCAAGAAATGCACCGCAGGCCGCAAATGTTTCTTTTTTTGTATGTCCCAATGATTTGTGGGCTACCACAATTAAAAAAAACCCATAAAAAACAGTGTTGGCTACCTCATCCTCCTCCTCCACCGCCACAGTCACCGCCTCCTCAACCTATGGGTCAGAGAAAGGTAAGTGCTTAAGACACACACACACTCTCACGAACAGACGCATACACACTAGCTAACAGACACACACATTTACTGACAGACACACTCAGTCACAAACATACGTACACACTCACTGACAGACAGACACACACTCACTCACTTACAAAACACACACTCACTAACAGACGTGCACAAATTAACACACTTAGTAACAGACGCACACAGTAACACACTCACTGACACACTCTAACACTAACACACACACATACACTAACACACACACTAACACACACACACTGACACACACACACTAACACTAACACACACACTCACTAACACACACACTCAACCTAACACACACACACACACTAACACACACACACTCATGTTTAAAAAAAAATAAAAAAAATTAATCCAGCCTCCTTATCTGAGGGAGTGCTGAGGGATTCCCTGGGGTCCAGTGGTGATGCCGGGCGGGTGGGCAGGCAGGCTGCACCACATCCATGAAACTGTTAGATTGTTTAGCAAAGTGAATTGGGGTATGACAATTCTTGAATATAAGGTTATTATGAGAGAACATACAATTGGCTCATTAATTGATCCTTACACTATCATTTAAAACAATCAACTGATCTAATACAATGACATCACTGCCTTCATTTTACAAATTACAATGTGCAGGGTTCCTATCCCTCAAAGACTAACACTTTTTATAAACTGTAAAATGAATATGCACCAAAGGATTTATTCCTTAACCTTAGAATTGTTAATCCCAATAAACAGTTTTAATTAATATGTGTAGTTATTGTTGAACAATTAACGTATTAAGCTTTTATATACTCTGAAAGTATACTTAAAGTCAGACATTTCTATAACCTTGGAAAATCAGTAAATATCTGTTTGCTCCAAAAATAAACATTGCAGTAATTGTCAGCAGGTTTGACAATTTTTTGTTTTTCTTACCTAAATAGAAAACTATAAAAGCCACTGGGACTTTACTGATGGCCAACACATCTACTACTAGTGCTAATGCTAGACAGGTGCTGGCTATAAGCCAGGAACAGATGGTAGGTATAATGAAAAGACAAATGACCCAGGTGAGCAATTATATATATAGACAGACAAGAACCTGACAGGTAATGAAGTAAGGACTAGAAGTCAGCAAAAGAAGTATCTTGAATAACGGTATCAGGCACATTGTGAAGTCAACAAAAGGTTGGATCAGAAACTCAACAAAGAATGATCAGATGGGAAGCAGGGTGAAGACAGGCCAAATTAGCATTTAAGATCAGGATCAGATAGCACAGGGTCAAAATATGGTCACACACTTTCTGAGTGGCAGACAAACTAAAGACCACATGGTAAATGCATCCTCCATAGTGAGGTGCTCTACATTTCATTGAAACAATATGTAGCAGACACCACACCTGACCCTCCCTCACACTCCAATACTTCCTGGAGAGGTAGAGAATTGCCAGAGGTTACCATAGTAATGCTTTGTCTGTTTCGGAAAGTGCCAGAGCAGAGATAGAGGGATAAGTAAGCTGCACCCATAGAAGGAGTAGACCTAAAACTGCAACCACTGGACCATTATTAAACTGTATAAAACACTTTTTTTTAATTAAAGCTATATTTTCTGCATAAATATAGATCCACGCAATCACTTCCACACATGCAATACCAACACAATCCTACAAACAGCCATAGATATAAAATCAAAGCATCCACCACACATAATACCAGAGACAGCTCATACCACACATACAAGTACCACAAGCAACCTACACACACACACACACACATATTTAACATAATACATACATACATAACAAACAAGTAGTACACATCAACTCACACAACACTAAAATAGTTCACATGTACACAAACAACACCAAATACAGCCTCCACTATACACAATATCACATACATACAACACCATAAAGATCACCATCACACCTAAAATTGGAAAATCAACTCTTATACACCACTTAACACCATAGACAACAACACACACAATACAACAGGTAGCCCATATGCACTCAATACCACAGTCAGTCAATATAAATACACATAACACTGACAGCCCTACACACAAACAAAATGCATACATAACAGAACTGGCAGCTCATAATCACACACAACATCACAATCCGTCAACATACATTCACATAACACCACAGACATCCCAACAAGCGTTAATACTGTAAAAAAAATGCACACACACAAAACACAACAGGCAGTTCATAATCACACACAACACCATATTTAGCAAACACAAAAACCCACAAACCTTACACACACACACACACACTCCCATAACACCATAGGCATCCCACACACTCACACAATATATGAAGTCCACCAACATACATAGCACCATGCATAGCCTACATATGCACATACAAAATCTCACAAAGCAACCAACACTCCCATACATAATACATGAAGAATTATCCAACATACATACTATAATAGAGCTCATTGTACTCTGGATGGCTACCTCTGCTAACCTTGCTTCCTAGCAGCCACAGGGATAAACCTGGAACGTGTTTTGGCCCATTTGCCGCAGCTTGACTTTGGTCCTTCTGGAGCTTTTCTACCCTGAATCAGGATACAGTAATTATAGCTCCATTATCCAGTATAGCTGTATAGCACTCTCACCCAAACACTAGCTGAGACTTTGTGAAGGGTAAATTACAACTAACTTTATCGAACCACATCACACACATATATAGGAGTAATCACAACAGGGGGGTCATCAAACAAAACAATACAAGTCACTTGGCATCTTGGTGTCTACAACAGAATTAGGTTAAGATTCCATAACTGGAATAGACTGCCTAAGATGCATTGCATAATAACAACCTTCCCTATTGTTTTACCTTTGTACAATAAGTCAACAATGACATAGTAAAATAACGTAGTTCAGCAGACAAAAGGGGTCTCTGGAACAATGGGACAACACCCTTCTGGGAAACAACAAGGAAGGGGGAAGGATAATAACTAACAAACAAATACATTATACACACCCTGTACCAATAATGGGCACAGGATGACTAAAATGTAAAAGCAATATGGAGACATACATAAAGGGTCTGTCTTTATCCCCCAGTGGTGGTGACTACTGTCACACATACATGCTACCTGAAAAAAATAGGATTAGAGCATTGAGGGACTTCAAAACTTAACTTCAGCACATTATTTCAAAAAGATTGCCTACTCTGTCATATACACTCATTATCTGTTATTGTCATGGAGTAACACTTCCGGGTTCGGCACTTAGCTGTGAGGAGCCGGACCCCGCCCCCCGCCCCCCTCTGACACAGCTCTGACGGTATTTAGGGAGACTGGGCCAGAGAGAGGGTGCTTGGTGACTGTGTGTGAGCTAATGTGTGAGCTGCCTCCGCGGGCTCAGCTACTGGGAGCTACTTCCACCAGACTTACCTCTCCACAAGCGCAGACAAGCCGTTCCAGCCTTTGAGCCAATGCAAGGATTGCTGCATGCCATAAAGGATTACTGGAGAACGGATACTTTACAAGTGGACCATATCTCTGAACTATTGGAGGACTACACATATTAACCTTAAGTATATCTTTCAGCTATTTGTCTACAATATCATTTAATAATGAACTAATGCTTGCTTACTCAAATCTTCACTGCTTCAAGCTACTAATTATATGGAGGACAACTCCCATCATGCTTATTCACTATGAACTGTTCTTGCTTTGCAAATATTTGCAGCTACTTGCTTAATATTACTATTGAAGATTATTCTCATTAACCAAAGAATGTTACTTAATACATCTCTGAGGAAATACTTAATAATGAACTTTGTGTTGTTGATTACTTGCACTTCTTCTTATTGGATTATTGCCTAAATGCAATTCATTTAAGTTTAACACTTATTAAAACTTTGGTTGAATCAAGTTACCAGTGATTCTCTCTTTTCTTAAAGCTACAGTATTGATACTTTAAAGATTCTTTGTTTCTTCACAACTGTAATTAGGGTGTTTACAAGCTGCAGTTGAGTTCCAATCCACATCACCCAAGTAGCGTAACAGTTATGTCCTATTACTTAAGAGATTTCAGTCACTTCCTGCAAAGTTTGTACAAACAAGGGAGGTAAATACAGGAGTATGTTTTTCTTTCTTGTTGGATTTGTAATACTTTATCTTCATGCACTGAACAAAATTATAAATGCAACACTTTTGTTTTTGCCCCTATTTTTCATGAGCTGAACTCAAAGATCAAAGACTTTTGCTATGTAAACAAAAAGCCTATTTCTCTCAAATATTGTTCACAAATCTGTCTAAATCTGTGTTAGTGAACAATTCTCTTTTGCCGAGATAATCCATCCACCTCACAGGTGTGGCATATCCAGATGCATGATTATTGCACATGTGTGCCTTAGGCTGGACACAATAAAAGGCCACTCTAATATGTGCAGTTTTACTGTATTGGGGGCCAGAGGGGGGGAGGGCTGGAAGAGTATGGGGTGGGTGGGGGACGAAAGCAAGTCAGTATCTTGTGTGACCACCATTTGGCTCACACAGTGCAACACATCTCTTTCGCATAGAGTTGATCAGGTTGTTGATTGTGGCCTTTGGAATGTTGGTCCACTCCTCTTCAATGTCTATGCAAAGTTGCAGGACCTGGAACACACTGTCGTATACGCCGATCCAGAGCATCCCAAACATGCTCAATGGGTGACATGTCCGGTGAGTATGCTGACCATGCAAAAACTTGGATGTTTTCAGCTTCCAGGAATTTTCTAAGGATACTTGCAACACAGGGCCATGCATTATCATGCTGCAACATGAGGTGATGGTCATGGATGAAAGGCACAACAATGGGCCTCAGGATCTTGTCAAGGTATCTCATGCAGATAAGCTTTCCTGAGACGATTTCTGACAATTTGTGCAGAAATTCTTGGGTTATGCAAACCGATTGTTGCAGCAGCTGTCCAGGTGGCTGGTCTCAGATGATCTTGGAGGTGAAGATGTTGGATGTGGAAGGTCTGGGTTGGTGTGGTTACACATAGTCTGTGGTTGTGAGGTCAGCTGGATGTACTGCCAAATTCTCTGAAACACGTTTGGAGATGGCTTATGGTAGAGAAATGAACATTTAATTCACGTGCCCCCATTTTTCCTGAGCTGAACTCAAAGATCTAAAACTTTTTCTATGTACACAAAATGCCTATTTCTCTCAAATATTGTTTACAAATCTGTCTAAATGTGTGTTAGGGAGAACTTCTCCTTTGCCGAGATAATCCATCCACCTCAAAGGTCTTGCATATCAAGATGATGATTAGACAGCTTGATTATTGCAAAGGTGTGCCTTATGGTGGCCACAATAAAAGGCCACTCTAAAATATGGAGTTTTATCACACAGCACAATGCCACAGATGTTGCAAGTTTTAAGGGAGCATGCGATTGGCATGCTGACTGCAGGAATGTCCACCAGAGCGGTTGCCCGTTAATTCAATGTTCATTTCTCTACCATAAGCCATTTTCAGAGGCGTTTCAGAGAATTTGGCAGTACATCCAACCGGCCTCACAACCACTGACTATGTGTAACCACACCAGGCAAGGACCTTTTAAGATTGTCTGAGTGCAGCCACCCGGACAGCTGCTGCAACAATCGGTTTACATAACCAAATAATTTCTGCACAAACTGTCAGAAACCATATCAGGGAAGCTCATCTGCATGCTTGTCGTCCTCATCGGGGTCTCGACCTGACTGCAGATCGTTGTCGTAACCAACTTGAATGGGCAAATGCTCACATTCAATGGCATCTGGCACTTTGGGGAGGTGTCCTCTTCATGGATGAATCCCTCTTTTCACTGTACAGGACAGATGGCAGACGGTGTGTATGGTGTCATGTGGGTGACTGGTTTGCTGATGTCAACGTTGTGGATCGTGTGGCCCATGGTGGCGGTGGGGTTATGGCATGGGCAGGCGTATGTTATGGACAACGAACACAGGTGCATTTTATTGATGGCATTTTGAATGCACAGAGATACCAGGACAAGATTATTGCAGCATGATAATGCCATTATACTCACCGGACATGTCACCCATTGAGCATGTTTGGGATGCTCTGGATCAGCGTATACGACAGCGTGTTCCAGGTACTGCCAATATCCAGCAACTTCACACAGACATTGAAGAGGAGTGGACCAACATTCCACAGGCCACAATCAGCAACCTGATCAACTCTATGCAAAGGAGATGTGTTGCACTGCGTGAGGCAAATGGTGGTCACTCCAGATACTGACTGGTTTTCTGACCCTCCTCCCCCCCACCCAGGACTCCCCCAATACAGTAAAACTCCACATTTTATTGTGTCCAGCCTAAGACACACCTGTGTAATAATCATGCTGTCTAATCAGCATCTTGATATGCCACACCTGTGAGGTGGATGGATTATCTCAGCAAAGGAGAAGTGCTCACTAACACAGATTTAGACAGATTTGTGAACAATATTTGAGAGAAAAAGGCTCTTTGTGTACACAGAAAAAGTCTTAGATCTTTGAGTTCAGCTCATGAAAAATGGGGGCAAAAACAAAACTGTTGCGTTTATAATTTTGTTCAGTAGGTTCTATCTATCATGGTTTTTGACAGGAAGCACTGTGGATATATGCTTAAACATTTCCACAATCATTCTGTCATTCTATTTTATTTGTATTTAGTTTGTAATGGTTTGGATGATTACTTCATCTGAAATTAGGGACTTTTGTTTTTTTAGAGGTATGCAAATAATTAAGATTACAGAAGTGAAGAATAACTCCGGCAATATATGTACCCTTCATGCAGAGAAATGTGTAAGTTTGCACAATGAATCAATAAGTTCAAATGGATGTTATTTAAGGAAGTTAGTGACAAACATTAAGTATGGGGTTATTACTGACAGTTTGTTTTTTTAGAAAATTTTATTTTATTAGAAATTGCATTGATTTCACCTCAAGTTTGAAATAAATTTGATTTATGTTCCTTTTTCAAGTTGGGTCAGATATTTGTTGAGACCAAAATTAATGTAAAGCAAAAAAAATAATGTGTTGTCACCATACAAGGATTTTAATTTATATAAATTATAGAATTGGAGACACAGTTTGGATTTTCAAGAGTGAAATACTACATGCCCAAGGCATATGCTCAGAAATATGTATTTAGATTTTTTTTTTTTTAAATGACCAACATAACACAAACACTAATTGTATTTAGATATAATTGAATTACTAGTGTAGCCAGTGCCTTTAACCCCTTAAGGACCAAACTTCTGGAATAAAAGGGAATCATGACATGTCACACATGTCATGTGTCCTTAAGGGGTTAAACACACAATGATGATGATGATGTAATTAATTGAGCTAGATGAATTTGTTGCTCTAACACTGGCAGGCAGTATCAATCATTATTGCTGACAGCTATTGACTAGTTACTACAAATTCTTATTGACAAGCACACCACCAAATACATTCAATTATCGTTACTTTGTATACTATGTGTCCTAACAACTAAGTTTATGTTTAATTTCTTCTTTATTTTACTACAGTACATACTCTCCACCACTTGTGGCCTCCCTAAACACTAACCCTGAACTCTCCTTCATCATTCTCACTTGCCTGGATTAATTACAATTCCTACAAAAGGGTACACCCTCCTAACAACAGGGCCTTTACAAGGAAGTTGATGGTCATCCAGAAAGACTTCTGTTCCTGGCTCCTGTAATCTTTCTTATGGACTTACCTTCTTGCAACTTTTCCATTTGAAAAACAACCTGATCAATATTATCAACCTTTTAATACCAACCAGTTCCATACCAGCTTGAACCACTCTTCAATTCCTGCTTTATTTCCAAACCTGCTCAATACCAGTCTGAACAACGCAACTATCCTGCTTTATTTTGCCAACCTTATTGTGAAGAAACTACTTTTTGTGTTCAGTAATTTTGATTTCTCTTCGTTCAGTAGATAAAACTGCCGAATACCGACCACTCCCCTGGCTCATTAACTACAAAGAAGACCGCAAATTAAGTGCTCTCTGTGTGTGCGCCGTTCGTATAGCCGAACTCCACGTGCGGGAGAAGATGGCAGCCATCTTGTCACACGAAAAGAGGCAGTTGGACTTGGTTGTCGAGTGTCTGGAACTACAATCGGACACTCAACTTCACTTTCTCAAACGCCTGCTTCTTTTCACCGACCAGCCTGGAGAGCGCTATTCGGTTCCCACGAACTAGGGGAAGAAACGCAACCTATGAGCTAGGGGAACCATTCGTGGATTTGTTTTTAGACTTCCCGAAAGAGACCGACCGCGCAGCCTAATTTCATGGAACTCTTTCTGGGCAGGAGCCTCGTGTGCAGTTGGCCAAATTAAGACTTGCAAGGAACTCCTGAACCCCTGTACCGATTTGGATGATTTTTGAATATGTTGGTCCCCTGTCACGTATTCATCTGCACATAAAAATGTGGTTAATGGCATTTACTGTTCTGACAGGAAAAGTTGTGCCGAGCAACATTACTGTCCTGACAGGAAAAGTTGTGCCGAGCAGCAATCAATCCACAGGAGGGTTTGAGCTGAGCAGCAATCATGCAAATGGGAACCTGGTAACTGCCTTTGGGGTCAAAGGCTGGTCACAGCCAATCAGATCCACAGGCGGGGTATTTAAGCCCAGTTCTCCTCTTGCTCAGTGCCCTGTTGTGGTTTCCCTTGTGGTTGTCTGAGAGCGCGTTATTGATTCTGGTTATTCTGGTATTTTTACTTTAGCATTGATTTTGACTTCCCTGTTTTCTGGAATCCCTGAACTCTAGCTTCCCTTTATTGTTGTGTTCCTTTCTGTGCCCTCTGACCTAAGCTATTCCTGACTATTCTTTGGTACATTAGTCTGGCCATTCTAAGGTCGTTACCTATCAGTCCTCTGTGTTACACAATTCTACGTGCTGGATCATACTGTAATCCTGACATTACGACATGGCCATAGATCCTGTAGAATTGTGTAAGCACATAGCTGCTTACGAAAGGAAACTGGAGGAGAATGATCACCGCATGGATCAATTTGCCTAGGCCTTCAATACGCTTTTTTCCCGAACAGCGCATCTGCAGCCTGTGGTCTCCTCTACCATCTCACCTCCACTTATAGTACACAAGACGCCCACTGTCTCTCTATCTCCTCCCCTGCATTTTGATGGTAATATTCAAGAATGCCGGGGATTCATTAACCAAATAGAGTATCATTTTGAGGCCTCACTGGAATCTTTTCCCACAGATAGAGCTAAAATTGGTTACCTGATGAACCAACTAAAAGGTAAAGCTTTAGCTTGTGCCAATCCGTTATGGGAGAGTAATAAGAGTGTGGCACACAATTACCAGGAATTCCTTATGGAATTTAAACTTATATTTGAACCATTAAGCAGGGAGGAAGACGCCTCCACTGCCCTGATGCACATCAGACAAGGGAACCGGTCTATCTCGGAGTATGCCATAAAATTTCGTACCCTGACTTTGGAGGTAGACTGGACTAACAGTGGGCTAATCTCTGCATTTAAAAAGGGACTATCTGACACTATGCTAGATGAGATTGCTGCCAAAGATTTATCCAAGAAACTTAACGAGTTCATCACATTTGTTATGCAAATTGATAATAGACTAAGAACCAGAGAGACTACTAGAAATAAGACCAGACGTATGACGTATGACTATGCCTTTAACTCTTCAAACCTGTTGTTCCTGACCTTCCTATACAGTCCGAACCTGAACCCATGCAGTTTAGGGTCACTAGACTGTCAGGGGCCGAGAAACAATATAGGAGAAACGAAGGTCTATGTTTATACTGTGATAGAAATGGACATATGAGAAACAATTGTCCTATTTGTCTGAAGAAACTACTGCACCTAAGTGCCTTAAGGAGATTACATTTCAGGTTATTGCATCTCCTTCTTGTCCTATCATATCAGGCAAGCATAACCCTCATATTGACTGGGCCAGTGGGGAAATATTAGAATGGGGTAAGTATTGTAATGAAAGGTGTATATTGCATGTCACCAAATAGTGGGCACTATTGAATTACCCACTAGTACATCTCAAAACCCTGAAATTCCTATACAATACCGAGACATTAAAGAAGTATTCAGAAAAACTCAGTCTAATACTCTACCTCTTCACAGACCATATGACTGTTCCATTAACCTACTACCCGGCGCTATGCCACCTAAGGGAGCAGTCTATGCTCTGTCACCTCAGGAGAGGTGAATAAAGGCCACATCCGACAATCATCCTCGCCTGCTGGTGCAGGATTCTTTTTTGTATCTAAACAGGATGGTGAATTGCGCCCATATATCGATTACAGGGCATTGAACAAAATCACCATTTAGAATCCTACCCCATTCCTCTTATTGCTGAATTATTTGACAGACTCCAGGTGCTAAAGTGTTTACTAAGCTTGACCTTAGAAGTGCTTACAATTTAGTGAGAATCACCACGAGTGGAAGACAGCATTTAATACCAGAAGTGGACATTAGGAATATCTAGTGATGCCATTCGGGTTGTGCAACGCTCCAGCAGTTCTCCAAGATTTCATTAATGATGTACTCAGAGATTACATTTACTCGTTTGTCTTGGTCTATCTGGATGATATCCTTATTTATTCTCCTGACCTCCAGTCTCATCACGATTACGTTAAACAACCTTATTAAAATATCAACTTTATTGTAAATTGAAAAAAATTATCTTTGACCAGTGTGAAGTACAGTTTTTAGGATATAATATTTCTGCCTCTGGGTTTCAGATGGATCCTAAAAAACTAGAGTCTGTTCTACAGTGGCCTTTACCCACTGGGTTGAAAGCCATTCAAAGGTTCATTGGTTTCGCCAATTATTACAGAAGGTTTATAAAGGGATTTTCTTCAGTAATAGCCCCCATCACCAATATGACACGCAAGGGGGCTAGTAGTACGATATGGTCTAAGGAGGCTATTGAAGCCTTTGAAACTCTCAAACAGTGGTTTGCCTCCACCGACATATAGATACATCCTGACACCAGTAAGCCTTTCACACTGGAGGTTAATGCTTCAGAGACGGGGGTAGAGGCAGTTCTCCCCCAAAGGGAGAGCCAGGAAACTCTGTTACATCCTTGTGGTTACTTTTCTAGAAAGTTGTCTCCTGCTGAGCGCAATTACGATATTGGCAATAGAGAATTGTTGGCCATTATTCTAGCTTTCAAGGAGTGGGGACCTCTTTTAACCCCTTAAGGACCAAACTTCTGGAATAAAAGGGAATCATGACATGTCACACATGTCATGTGTCCTTAAGGGGTTGAAGGGTTCCATGGACCCCCTTTTGATCATAACTGATCACAAAAACCTGGCTTACATAGGAGATGCAAAGCGATTATCTTCTAGACAAGCTAGGTGGTCTCTATTTCTTTCTCGCTTTAATTTTCCTATCACTTATAGACCTGGTTCTAAAAATGTCAACGCCGACACCTTGTCCAGGCAGTTTGATACTGAGGCTATACTAGAGCAAGAAACATCCCATATCATTCCCCCACAGTATATTATTGTGTCCACTGTCCTTTCATTGTCCTCTCCACTGCTTGGCTCCATCATGGAGGTTCAGTCTCAGGTGCCCTGTGGTAAACCTCAGGACAAATTGTTTGTTCCTTTGGGGGAAAGGGTTAATATCATGAAGGTGTTTCACGACTTGTCTGCTGGTCATCCAGGTATTAATAAATCCACTTCAGCTATAATGAGGTCTTTCTGGTGGGATTCCCTCAGGAAGGATGTTAAGGAGTATGTGTAGGCTTGTTCTGTTTGTGCAGTTTCCAAAGTACCTCATAAACTCCCTTGTGGCTTGTTGCAACCTCTTCCTATTCCTGAGGTCCCATGTCCATGGACTCCATTGTTGAACTTCCTAGTTCTAATGGTTATACCACTATTCTCATGGTTGTGGACCATTTTTCTAAAATGGCTCATTTTATTCAACTCAAGAAATTGCCATCATCTCAAGACCTGGTACTAATTCCTCACAATATAGTATCTGATAGAGGTTCTCAGTTTGTGTCCCGGTTTTGGAGAGCCTTCAATAAACAATTAGGGATTGAATTGTCTTTTTCATCCTCTTACCACCCCCAGACCAATGGTCCAGCTGAGAGGGCTAACCAGTCCTTGGAATTATATTTGTGTTGTTTCATTAATAGCACTTAAGACAATTGGTTTGAATTACTACCATGGGCCGAGTTTGCTAGGAACAATGCTGACCATAACTCCTCTGGGCTAGTCCATTTTTTGTTAATAATGGCCAGCATCCTACTGTCCTACCGGCTGTTTTTTTTCTGATACGGCTATTCTTGTTTTGGACGACCTTCTGGTTAAAGTCAAGAGCAGGATCACGGAAGGTGAACTATGTTGCCTTCAAAGCATTTACTGACGGTGAAATGGATACCAACAGCTATTTGCAGGACTTTGAGCATCCGTGTGCTTTGGAAGGGCTAGAAAAGATTAATTGGGCTACGGGCAGCCGAGGCTTATAGAGCTGTACCTGGCAAGGAGATACAAAATTATGAAAAGGTGAAGGGGATATTGTTGGCCAGATATGCGGTCACACCAGAGGCGTACCAGAGGAAATTTCGGGGCCTCAGAAAAGTAGGAAGAGGCTCCTATGCCGAATGTGCATTCCGCCTGCACTGCGCTGCCTGAAATTGGATGCAGGGCTGCCGGGCAACTTTGCTGGAGGATGCTTTACAGCTATTAATAATGGAGCAGATCTTTGATCACACTCCAACTGAGATCAGAGACTGGGTGAGGGACTGTAAACTAAAGACAGTACAGGAAGCATCTAAATTTGCAGATGAGTACCAGGATGGCAGGCAACTAGAACCCAGCGGAGGGCGACCCGCTTTCCAGACCTCATACTAGGTACAATCTGCACCACCACCACCCAGACCTGCTCCTTTAAACCCAGCACCTGCTCCAGCACCCACACGGCGGCCCGCCTTTATATGCCACAATTGCCATCAGCCAGGGCATTTTAAGAACAACTTCCCTAATCGGAACAGAGGAGGTTGGGGAAGATCAGTACCCCAGCCCACCAGGGCAGCTGCCCATTGTTTCCACCAGGAGGCCCCCAGAGATACAGACCACAAGGAGCACGAGGAGCAGTGGACAACTCTACATGAGGCAAATCCAGTCCAGGTTGCAGGTGACAACAGAAAGCATCAACGCCAGGGGGTCACCGTCGACGAAATGGACGATTGGGGCCTGAGAGACATAGGCGCCACCCTCACCTTGATACAGCCGCACAAAGTCCGTGCTCAAGCCCGCACCAACAAGACAGTAGCCAAAAGGGTGGCAGGAGGAGCCATCCGTAAACTCCCCACTGCACCTCAACTGGGACTCGGGAGACAAACATCTGGAGGTGGGCATAATGAAGGAGCTACCAGCCGAGGTGTTATTGGGGAATGACTTGGGGAATGAGAGTGGCACAAGTGCCGTAGGTTGCTGACCCCTGGTTGCTGACCCCTGGTCTAGCTAGTAAAATACAATACAATGTCTATAACTATGTAGTGAATAGTTTCTTAAATAGTGTGTAAAGCTTAACAACAATACTACACATAATTGGTAAACAAAATAAAGAACTATGCTTATATGTTCATCAAAATCTTGGCAATTTTGTATTAATTACATTTGAAAGACAATTAACAATTATTCAGCCCTTAAAAATATAGTTAATCAGTGTTATTCATTCACTTTTTATTAAGAAACTGCAATAATTACCTTGTAGGGTTAGTCTACCATACAGCCACTAGAGATGCCTCCAGGTCCTTGGCAGACTTTTGGTCAACTAAATGATGCTATACATCCCCACGCTTTGCATGAGGACATCCAGCTTCAGCTAAAACCTTATAGGAAGTATTAATTCAATGTTGGGAATGAGCATTAGGTCCCCCCAGTTGGCTGATGTCCGTGGAGAAAGAGCAGAGGCAGAGCCTGACCCAGCACCAAGGACATCAGCGCTGGATTTAGGTAAGCACCCTTTCAGCGCTGCAGGGAGAGGGGCCTGAGGGAGGAAGGGACTATAGGGCACTGTAGTGCTGGGAGTACAACTTTCTGTTCTTAGCACTATAGTTTCTCATTAATATGTAATAATTTGAACATCTTTCAGCTTCCAGGTTTGAGCTATTTGTACATTAGCTGCAGCCAGTAACATAAAAGAGCTCATTGGCAGAGAGTGAAAGTTTTTGTATTGTTGTTTGGTGTCAAATTGGATTTGGGTATATATAGGGTATAGTCTGTGATAAAGCATGAATTTGCCTCCACTCGTTATGCAAGTTGGGACAATACTATCAAATATATAAGAGTGTGCCAATGTCTTTTTTGCACCTTCATCAGGATGGAGTAGCATCATTTTAGAAAATCTGAATATTTAGATACAACCTAAATGCAGTCTTTTTGTTGAGATTCAAATGAGTACCAATAAGCGGTGCCTGTCAAAGAGCTTAGTTATTGACATCCACTCCTGATGCTAAAAGGATATCAGGAGGTCTACCTTTCACATACTCATAAAAAGAAGCTTGTGGGCCCAATGTGGGAAGTTTTACAGTTTATAACTCATACCCTTTACAGAAGTGTGAATAGTAAGACTTATGCAGGTCTGTGGTTAAAGTTTGTAATTCTTCTGCTGAATGTATATCATTGAATTTTATGGCCTTAGTCACTTACAGTTCATCGGTATAAAAAGGAACATAGTTAAAGCTATAATTTACAGATATCGTTTAACATAAAATATTACTGCATTTGTTTTGGATGATATTTTATTACTCACGTACAATATATAGAGCTGCCAGTGAGCTTTACTTTATATGCACCTCTGTGGTGCATTTCTTGATCCAATAGGGGTTGATCTGGTGATTATAGAATATAAACAAAATGGCTACCAATATAGTGTAGTATGTCAGAAGGCACAGGTGTGGATAATGTTTAAATATATACTTACATTTAATGGAGCCTGACAATGGCTCCCAGCAAAGTAAAGTGGTACAATTAACATTCTTGGATATGTGCTCTAGTAGTAGTAGTCCTAACAATGGCAATATGTAGATAACATAGAGAAAATACATAGTGCACATTGTAAAATTCAAAGTGAATAAAATATATGGAAATTTACTCACAAGTCTGGAACTGAAAGGAGGTTTTTTTTATCAGTCCTTTGATAAAGCCTATCTGATGTGGTAAAACATGTAAGTGTTGCATGTTATTGTATATCTTTGTGTTTTTTATACACTTCTAATAAACTAGTAATTTATCCTGGACCATCCTGTTTTGTAACTGTTATCTGAACATAATTTCCTTGGCAGGGAACATACCACTGTGAGGCCTGAGCAAAAACTCCTTTTTGCTCCAGACTTGTGAGTAAATAAAATAAAAATATATTTTATTCACCTTGAATTTTACACTGTGCACTATGGTATATCTCTCTTTTAACCGCATACTGCCACAGTGAGGACTACTACTACAGCACATATCCAAAAGTGAAGATTGTATCACTTTACGCAATTTGTTAAGAGTGAACTTCAAGCAACATTAAATGTGAGTGTATATTTACACACTATACTTTTTTAATGAAAAATATTTATTGAGGTATTTTTATAAAATAAAACGTACAACAATCATCACAAACATTAACAATACAATGTCATAAATAGATATTCTCTACAATCCCAAAAGGTTTAAAGACAATAACAAACATTACATATAGATTGGCAAAATATAAAATGCGGCCGGTAAGATCTAAGTATATTACATATATATCATACAGGGCTGATATTGCTTATCTTTCTATCGTACAACACTGCATTCAATACAAAAAGTCCCAATTGCACCATTAAAGGGAGGAGGAGGTGAGGAATGCCCAGAGCAGAAACCATATTCTATTAATGGAACATTCAGGGGGGTAACTCTAAAGCTAGGGCCGTACGTAGATTCATGTCTCTTGGATAAAGCTATTCCATATATTCCATCCATATTTAGTAATAGACAGGGGCTCTCTCTCTATCTTTAGTTGGAAGGAAATTTGGGATTTTAACATTACCCACATTGGGGGGTCAGGTTGCTTCCAAAGTTTTACAATACATTTTTTCGCTGCTATCAAGATATGTGTGGCTATATATTCATCTTTTACTGAGAATTTAGGCCAGCAAAGATGAAGTAAAGCAGTTACAGGCAGAAACATCATATGAGTATCTATAAGATTCTCTAGTATATTATATACTAGTTCCCAGAATGATTTTAATTTCTGACCTAATTTCCACCAGATATGTAAATACGTTCCCTCTGATAGATTGCATCGCCAACATAAGGAAGAATAAGAGGAATACATCTTATTAATTTTCATTGGGACCAGATGCCATCTGGTTAGTATCTTATTTTGTAACTCTATAAGGTTAAAACAATGGATCGATTTCTTAAGTTTCGGTATAATCTTATGCCGATCTGATAGTGTTATTTCTATTCCAATCTCAATTTCCCATCTATTTTAAAAAATGATAGCAGGGTCTATATAAGAGTTTCTGTCACCAAAAATTGAGCTTTTCATCAAAATACGGATACTATCCTCATATTTTAACAGAGACTTCAAGCCTATAATTCCATCATCCATTTTACAAGTAAAACGTTTCAGGTAGCTTTTGATTCTTAAATAAGAAAACACTTATTTTGGGGGTAAGTGGAATTTTAGGGCTAATTCATGGAAAGGTTTAATATGTGATCCGTTCAGTATGTCTGCTAGAATATTGATACCTTTGTTCATCCACTTAGACATATTAATTTCTTCCATATTATATTCTAGCAAGCTTATACTGCAGTTAGCTCTAAGAGTGTTCTCCCATTGTAAATTATACTCCAACATAAATCTGTTCCAAAACCTTAAGATTTCATAAGTAAGATAATGTTTCCCCCATACATTCTCTACGATTTTAACTAAGTTCATCTTCTTGGGGTCGATCCATAGAATTAGGGATAGATCCACTATTCCCAACATAGATTTTTCAATATCGCCCCATATGTCCTTGGGGTTTATTCTAAACACTTAAAAATGTGTTTGAGAATAGCAGCATCATTATATTTCTTTATACTGGGAGCAGCTAATCCACCTTTATCTATGCATTTTTCCAGTATCTTCCTCTTTATTCTAGGCTTTTTCCCATTGTTCATATAGTCATAAAATTTGCTTTGGATAAATTTTTTAAAATATTTACACACTATACTATTCACACCTGTGCCTCCCGACATACTACACTATATTGGTATCCATTCTGTTTATAATCAGTGGACCAACACCATTGGATCAAGAGACGCATCCAACATCCCGAGGCGGAGAATTGTACTGCCCAGGCGCATATATGTAGAGCTTACGGTCAGCTCTACATATTGTAAGTAAATTTATTCCTTTTATTCTTAATATAACATTCAACTTACTACACCGTATAGTCTTCCTCTGTGTGCTTTCCTCATTTCATATCTGAATATCCATGAGGATCTCCCGAGGCACTGCTTCCTATATCATTTTTCTGACCAGATAAGAGATACTCTAGTTTGGGTTGTTTTATATATTATAGTAAATAATTGACTTAAAGGTCAACTGTCATTAATGTTCATCCTAGATGTTTATTATTTATTTGGGAGAGTAAGTTCATGTTGTTAGTGTAGTCCTAAGAACTTTCAAACCTCATCATGGATTTAATTATTCTACAGTATGTATGCTTGTGATGCTGGGTAAAAGCTATTTTGAAACATCACTATTGCAATTAAAATCATAGAACTATCTAAACTAGCAGATGGTTGTACTGTTCCTGTGTCCATAGTCATCTTCCTTCTGTTAATATCATGTGATGTCATGTCCTTTGTCCCTGCAATGTTCACTGTTTTTTTCAGATGTTGTTCTCGAAATGATCATTTTCTAATTCTCAGTACTTCATCTGACCTCAAATGCTAATTCAATGTTTAATAATCTGAGTATGTTAATTCTATGTTTTATCTCCATGGCAATAGTAATAGGAATTATCTAAGAACCTGGAAGGGACCTAAGGGCATACTAGCAACGGAAATCAACATAAAAGAATACATAGTTGCTCTAGATGCTAGAAGCTTCCTGAGATTCTGAATTGTTTTGATTCTCTGCGACTATCAAAGTCATCTTTTCATATATTTACTATATATATACGTCAGTCGATTGCTACGAGCATGTTAATTCATCACTTTAGATATTATAGGAGTTTCTTAATTACATGATATAGTGGTATCTTCATGAACAAACATTGGTATAAACATGTACAGCATAAACATGATCTACTTATGCTAATTTGCTTCTGGAAGTAATTTAAGCTCAAGAACTATTAATAAGAAGCTTCTTAAAACAAGTTTCCATGAATGAGCACAAAAAAAAAAAAAAATTACCATGCACAATGTAAATTGCCAAGTGAAGAATTAATGAATTACACATATATGCGCATTCTAGCATGTAGCAATTACCATGTATGTTTAAACTTCCCTGTATGGAAGAGACCATGAAACAGAATAATATGTCCATTCTCAGAGGTCTCTGTTGTTGTTGCAAAGCATAATAAATAATGTTTTGCATGAAATGGTTTTGTAATTAATTTACTGTATTGGAATAATATCTCAGTAGCAACTAGTTCATGAATTGTATAGAATTAGATTTACTATTATTTTCAGGTTCAGCCTACTTGTGGTTACTGAACATTTCAAGGTCATTCTTCCCTTTAACAAACTCCAAATTCTGCACAATTTGAAAAATAACACCTACTGTAGTAACTGATGCATGTCTCCAGTCACTATTTATCTAATCATTATGTACTTGCACTGAAAGATTTTAATTGTCATTAGCCTATTATAGATTAATGAAGTTCTCATTTGTCACTGATGCACATGCTGCATCTTTAATTGGAATTTGTGAGGAGCTCCAACAGAATTGTAATTGACATGGGTTTTGTATAACAATTCCCATTACATCTAATTACTTTAAAAATCAATTCATATCACCTACATGTCAAGGTGAGTGATGGAACATATTATAAGTTCTGCAAAGATGCGATTACATTTTCAAATGACCCAAAAATGCAAATTTTCTTTTGATTTCTATGTAGAACAAAGAAATGCAAAAGTTTAAGAACAATCATATCAAATTTTCTTGATAAAGTAAAGACTATGAATGAGACATATTCCAAAAAGTAGCATTTTAATATGTAAGACAAAGAAAGAAGCAAAGAGAACATGACATTTTTAGTGTCCCCTTCCACAGGGTAATTTCATCATGGTTATTTTATGTCACAGTGTAAGAACCCAGAGGCAGATCACTCTGGTCAGCTTGCCTTCATGTACCATCACTTTGACCTGCTGCCACAACTAACAGTCCCATGCTTTTCTTTTAAACATATATCATATAGGTTATTTCCTTCTTATGCCTGCAGATTTTAATGTTACAATACTACAGGTATGCATTGCAAATCTTTTTTTCTCTTATTTATTGGCAACTTTGTGAAAAGAATGTCTAGTGGTATTGGCTTCTTATCATTTTCCAATAATGGTTTAGGCAAAAATATGTCTAACCGCCTGGTTTGATATATGAAATTCCAAAACTATAAGTTAAACCGTATGTATCATAGCAAAACTTCTCAGCAGGCTCTGAACACTTTTTTAATATGACCTTTTTAATGTAGCCTGCCTTAGATCAGCGATAGGCAATCTTCGGCACTCCACATGTTGTGGACTACATCCCCCATAATGCTCTTATACCCACAACGCTGGCAAAGCATCATGGGAGGTGAAGTCCAAAACATCTGGAGTGCGAAGCTGGCCCATGCCTAATGGAGAAAAATACAAATTGTGTGTGATACTATAAGCTGATCTGGTACATTAAAAAAAAAAAAAGAACAGTTCACACATGCTGATGATGCACAGATCAGCATTGAGACAATGAAATGACCACACCAAGCAATCAACAGCAATTTGTTTCTTTATTGTGAAATAATCATTTTCTTTCCTTACGTTTATTTTGAACATGAAAATGATGTGAATTTTGTTGCTATCCAGGGTTATTTATGTTATGCACCCATGGATGACACTACCACTAAGCAAACTAGGCAGCCATCTAGGGCGCACCAGTCTAGCAGCACAATGTCCAGGTGAGCGGCAGGAGGGAAGCGGACTGCACAATGCTCCCCATCTTGCTAATCACTGCATGTAGTATGGCTGAGCAGACCGTGGTAGAGGATCTTCTGTATCCTTTACCCAGTCTGACAGTAAGCTGCTCACCAGACCCGGTAGAAGAAGACAAAGAGACACACAGAGAGGCTGGGGGAATAAAGACCTACAGAGGGGCTCGGGGGACAAAGACACACAGAGCTGTGGGGAGAAAGAGTAAACAAAGTTGGTAATTTTATTTTGTGGGGTGCAAGTAGCTGGTCTTATACAATCAACAGTGTCCAAAAATGGGATATCAGTGTAACATTTTATCCCCTTAAGGACCATGGACGTATTAGGTACATACGACAAAAAATGGTCCTTTAGGACCACAGACGTACCTAAAACATCCGCGGCTAATTAGAGCATTGCAAGTGATATTCTTTGTCAGTAACACCTAACAGGAACTGAGAATCCATGCCTAAAGTACAATGTGAGAGAAAAATAACACAAAAAACGACTACCCAAAAGTTTGACAAAGGCTGGAGGTAGAATTAGTGCATGGAAAGTGTTAAAATACCACCATTTTAAATACCCTAGGGTGTCTACTTTTCAAAAATATATGGTTTGATGGGGGTAAATTACATTGGCCATCTTCAAAAATGTCCCAAATAGGACATGGGTGCATGATGACCATCTGTAAAAATTCCAATTTGAAAAACTCTAATGCGCACCCTCCAAATAAGGTATTTTAGCCCACAGAGAACCTGACACCCCTATACATGCGGGGTATCACTGTACTCAGAAGATGTTGCTGAACACATATTGGGGTGTTTTTTGGCAGTAGCTCTTAAAGTTCTCCATACATGTATTCTTAAATTGCTATGTGTGTCAAAAAAACACCATTTTTTTTTTTATTTGGCATAGATTGGTGGTAAAATGGTTGCATGAAAACAGTCAAAATACCCCAAGTTTAATACCTTAGGTTGTCCTCTTTTAAATGTATACATGTGAAGGGTTATTCAGGGATTCCTGACCGATATCTGTGTTACAATGTAACTTGCAATAATTTTGAAAACAATGGTTTGGAAATAGCAAAGTGCTTCTTGTACTTATGGCTCTATAACTTTACAAAAAAAACTAAGAACATGTTACCATTGGGTATTTCTAAACTCAGGACAAAATTTAGAAACTATTTAGCATGGGTGTTGTTTGGTGGTTGTAGATGCGTAACAGATTTTGGGGGTCACATTTTTCATCATGTTTTATAATATTTTTACAGTAAATTATGTGATGAAAATAATGGTATCGTTAAAAAGACAATTTAATGGGGAGGAAAATGGTATATAATATGTTTGGGTACAGTAAATGAGTAAGAAGATAATTACAGCTAAACACAAACACCGCAGAAATGTAAAAACAGCCCTGGTCCTTAACGGTAAAGAAATTGAAAAACAGTCTGGTCACTAAGGGGTTAAAACCAACAATATTGAGCGTCCAAATCTTTATACTGTGTCCACTTCTGTATCAATCCAAGAAATATTCTATGTACACCTTAAAGAATTAAGGAAACAGCAACACAGTATAACACTGTAGATTTATTAATACCCTTAAAAAAAACCTAAATAGAAACTCTTACAAGATAAAATTGTGGTTCTTGTTGCCAAGTCCCACTAAAAAACAGGGGTACATTCAAACCAGACAAGCAGTCAAAAGGTTACCAGTTCCTTGGAGAGAGATACCGTCTGCTCTGTGCACTTGAGCCGACTGGAGGAACTGGACTTAATCTGGAGGAACGCCGACTGTCTTTCCCACTAGGAGTTAAGCCCTCGTGTGTAATCGCTAGATGATAAAAAGTATGTCCACCAGCAACGCGTTTTTCCCATCTGAAGTGGGCTTTCTTAAGATAGGTGCTGTGGCCAATTCTGAACAGTTTAATACCCTGCTTCCAAAGTGGAATCGCAGGATTTTTTAAATGTATAGGATACATACAAAAAGTATAAATGGAAAAGTACAATCGACAACAAAAATGTATCTTCAAATCATGTCTTTCACTGGAGGCATAGTGGAATATATAGCCCGTGTAGGCAAGATTGCAAGTATGATTTGTGAGTTGAGCCCAAAAAATCATTTTAGTCATCAATAAGTTTTGCTCAACTTTGCAGAAAATACATCTAAAGAAGGGGATTGTCATAGCAATCATTTTCCGTGAACTATTAAACAAAAGATAAATGTTTATTGTTTACTCCTTCTATTGGTATGCTAATTCAATTCATTTTTATACCATCAATATTATGACAACATATGTCCAATTAGATAACTATATGCCTCCAGTGAAAGACGGAATTTGAAGAGACATTTTAGTTGTCGGTTGTATTTTTTCATTTGTACTTTTTGAATGTACCCTATACCTTTAAGAAATCCTGCAATTCCACTTTGAAAGCAGGGTATAAAACTGTTCAGAACTGGCCACAGCACCTATTTTGAGAAAGCCCACTTCAGAGATGGGTGAAACGCGTTGATGGTGGTGAACATTCTTTTCCTCAGCTAGCAATTACACACAAGGGTTTACCTCCCAGCAAGACAGACAGTTGGCGTTTCTCCAGATTAAGAGTGAAGACAGTCGGCTCAAGTGCACTGAGCAGGCGGTATCTTTCTCAAAGGAACTGGTAATCTTTTGACTGTTTGGCTGGTTTGAATTTACCCTGTGTTTTTTAGTGGGACTTGGCAAAAAGCAACACAATTTTATTCTGTAAGAGTATTTATTTAGGGGGTTAAAGGGTATTAATAAATCTACAGTGTTAAACTATGTTGCAGTTTCCTTAATTTTTTTAAGGTGTGCACAGAATATTTTGTGGATTTATACAGAAGTGGACACAGTATAAAGATTTGGACTCTCAACATTGCTGGTTTTAAACTGTTACACTGTTACCCCATTTTTGGAACTCAAATTATATAAGTTTTGTTTCTGGTACCCTGAAGAATATCTCACAAAGGGAAGATCCACCAAGTGCTGACACTGCTGATTGTATGTGATTAAGACTTGGGAAGGTTTTTATATGTGTTTTAGCAGCTGATATATCTGATTGTATTTATTTGTTCATTGCTATTCTTATTGTGCTCTCTAATAGTTTTTTTTTAGTAAGTAGCTGGTCTTGCCTAGTCTGGTCTTGCAAAGTACCAAATCAAAACAGTGGAGAGCTCATTTACTTCTCCAGTGCCATATTATACATATAAAACCAGTGGATAGTATAACAGCACTTAACTTAAATGTTCCAATTTGTACACTGACTTCCTTTGTGCCTTTAAAAATTATTAAAATACATATAGTGTAAAATCGTCTAAGAT